GCCCCTCTGCCTCTCTTTCCTTGCTTCCTTCAGCAGAAGGATCACAGGATTTCTCCTTGTTTTCCCTCCTATCCATGCTGCTCCTGTTCTTCTCTTGTACTCCCTGTGGTTGCAGGGTTTTCAGCTGAGATTCAAACACCTGCACTGAAAGTTGTGGAAGAGAGGAATATGCATGGAGATGAGGTGTCTCCAGTCTCCTCTAACCTGTGCAGCTTGAAGAAATGCAGTCCATGGGGTTAGGAACTGAGCTGACTCTCCCTCAGGCAGAGTCCATCTTCAAGGCTACTTCATCTGACCATTTCCCTGTAATGTCTTAACAGACTTGGAGGTGCCCTCAGGAGGGACATAGCTGACTCCTGACATCTCTGTGATGTCCAGGAGACCTCTGAAGAATCTGTTACTGACTGAGACTGAAAAAAACTGTTTGGAAACTGCATATGGGCATCTGAAAAGAGCTCTGCATGTTCTTGGCTAGAAGTGGAGCTTGGAGACCTCCCTCAGGTGCCTTGAGAAAGGGAGAGAAGTTGGAGATTTGCGGTTTTGAAACTGGACTCGCCTGCTCTTAGGAGGGACTGAATTCTTTTTAGGGCAACTTATTAGGTGATCATCATGCAGTTCAAAGAGGTGTGGGCACACAACACCTGGAATCAAGGAGAGACGAGCTGTCCTCACTGTGCACAGGATGACAATCCATTTTTTTCTCATGATTCCTGACAGAAATGATGAATATTTCTTCCTCTGAGGAACATCTCGCGGGGGTGAGAGAGGCATCTCAGAAAATGTCAAACAATCAAACAATCTCAAACAATGTCAAAAATCCCCAAACTGTGCTCTCAGCCAGTCTTTAGAAGTGGTGGTGTAGATACTGAAAAACCCTTTTACAAACCAAGGGGATTTCAGTTGAAAAAGGATGAATCTCAGAGCTCAACACCCCTGATGCCCCCTTCCCACGATTGTAAAGCAGGACAGACTTCTCTGGAGGCCATGGGGAGATGTCCCTGCTCCTCCCATCATACTCCTCCACCCCAAACTGGAGCACAAGCAAAGGAGATGCACAAAGATCTCGATGAAGAGAGGCCACATGGGCAGTGTATGAGAATTGGAACATCTGGGGGCTATTTTACTTAAAAAGTCTGTCATAACATCTCAATGTCTTTTCTTCTTTGAACAGTCTACAAAGCCTGGAGAGAGCAAAATGTCCAACAGTAGCTCCCTGAAAGAGTTCCTCCTTCTGCCATTCGCAGACACGCGGGAGCTGCAGCTCTTGCACTTCTCGCTCTTCCTGGCCATCTACCTGGCTGCCCTCCTGGCCAACGGCCTCATCATCACAGCTGTAGCCGGCGACCACCACCTCCACACCCCCATGTACTTCTTCCTTCTCAACCTCTCCCTCCTCGACCTTGGCTCCATCTCTACCACTCTGCCCAAATCCATGCACAATTCCCTGTGGGACACCAGAGACATTTCCTACTTAGAATGTGCCACACAGATATTTTTCTTCCTTTTTTTATTTTCAACAGAGTTTTATCTCCTCACAGTCATGGCCTACGATCGCTACGTTGCCATCTGCAGACCCCTGCACTACGGGACCCTGCTGGGCAGCAGAGCTTGTGTCAAAATGGCAGCAGCTGCCTGGGCCAGTGGCCTTCTCTACGGTCTCCTGCACACTGGGAACACATTTTCCATACCACTCTGCCAAGGCAATGTGGTGGAGCAGTTCTTCTGTGAGATCCCACAGATCCTCAAGCTCTCCTGCTCAGACTCCTACGTGAGGGAAGTTGGGCTTCTTGTGGTTAGTTTCTGTTTAGCCTTAGGGTGTTTCATTTTCATTGTGGTGTCCTATGTGCAGATCTTGGCTGCTGTGCTGAGGATCCCCTCTGAGCAGGGCCAGCACAAAGCCTTTTCCATGTGCCTCCCGCACCTGGCTGTGGTCTCCCTCTTTGTCAGCACTGCAATGTTTGCCTACCTGAAGCCCCTGTCTGTCTCCTTCCCAGCTCTGGATCTGGTGGTGGCCATTCTGTATTCTGTGGTGCCTCCAGCACTGAACCCCCTTATTTACAGCATGAGGAACAAGGAGCTCAAGGACGCACTGAGGAAACTGGTTACGTGGGTCCAATGTCTGCAACAATAACCCCGCCAGTTACAGACTGTCAGGCATCAAGGCTTTGTGCTGTTTCTCTTTCCTCTCCTCTCCCCTCCTCACCTCTTTCTCCCTTTCTTTCTCTATTTTTTTTCTGATGCATTCAATAAACAAATGGTGAGTACCAATTCCTCTCATTTATATCTTCTCCAGAGACTCTGTTGAAGCAGGAGGCCCTGCTTCCCCCTTCACCAGCAGAGAGGAGCAACCTCAGAGCCCGCCGGTCAGAGCTCCCCCAGGTGTCATGTCCCTGAGTGCAGTGAGGAGAGTTTCCCTGTGCAGTGTCTCTTCCTGCTCTGGCATCAAGGGAGCTCCAGGGCACAGAGTTCGGCTCAGACAAGCATAGATGGGGTGAGACCAACAGTCCCATGTCCATTAGGAGAGCTCGGCTGCTTCAAGGACAGTCAGCATGTCATCTTACAACCCTCTTCTGGAAGGGTGACAGCCACGTGTCACCATGGGCTGATCCCTTCCCTCTCCAAAACTCCCAACACTATAAATGGAGGGACAGTGGCAGGGACACTCAGACAGCAGCTTGTGAGGACAGGACCGTGCTTGACAGTGTCATGCCCAGTGACAGCAGCCTTCCTGTGGGGGCTGCAGCTTTCCTGGACACATCCTGGCAGAGCATCAGGACTTTCTCTTTATAGAGTTGTTCTCTTCATTTCCATGCTGTCCTTCTATGCTCTATTCTGTGGATATGGTCCAGCAGTTCTCATAACCTGAGGGTCACAGGGTTGTGTTTCCATGTCCATGTGGCTTGGAATAACAGGCAGGATGAGTCCTTGGGCTCCCTTAGACCATCAGTTGACCTCCAGAATAACATTTCCATAATAAAAGGGGATCTTCCCTGTGATGTTAACGAGGGTCAGGCACAGCCTAGTAATGGTTATACAAGACTGGAAACCTCCAAGCAGCCCAGGTTTGTGGGGGAGGTGAACTGGATAACTCCAGAGGTTGCTCCTCACCACAACTGCTCTGCAACTCGGTGACTTCTTTCGCTTCATCCCCTGATCTAGAGGCACTGGAAGTTCATTCTGCATGAAGATCCTGGTGCTCCTACTCTCGAGCTGGAATCCACTGAAGCCTGGAGACCAGCCTCAAGAAAGGCATCTCCTGCCCAGAGCCAAAGCTGTGCAGCTAACAACCAGAGTCTTTGCCCTAATTCCCCTGCTTTCCTCCTGCTTCCAGCACCACAAAAGCTGTGCCCCATGTCAAACCCTTCAGCCTCCAGACTGCCCTGGGGCCCGAGGCAGCTCCAGCTCCTCCAGGGCTGCTCTGGAGCTGTTCAGGATTGGGCTGAGGTGGGTCTAGCATCACCAGGGTGGGTGGGAGAGGGCAGCCCCCTCTGCCACGCTGAGGGGACAGGCTTCTCCGGGCGAGCATCAAGACCTGCTCTGTGCAAGCAGGGATGGAGAGAGGAAATTCAGAGCTCGACTAGAGCTAGAAAGAATGGGCCCGAGGGGGCGGGTTGCAACAAGGAGGCCTCGTTGGCCAGATGGTGGTTACCTGATCCACTCAAGTGGTATTGCAGCTTATCTAAAACAAGGTCGACCCTACAGTCCCACCCTTCTGCTTTCCTTGCAAGAACTGTGGTCCATCACACCCTATCTTCTTCCCGGAAGAAGATTCCTCCTTCCACTGCAGGAATATATTGGCCGGTTGTGAAGGAAATTTATATTATACTCTAGTTTTACAGGAAACAACATGCAAGGCCATGTGCCCCACAAGCAGAACATCTCACCTGACCTTCCGCAGCCCCACTCTTCTTATAAAGCAGAAGTGCTGCAAAGAAAGCAGTCTAATCCAGCCAGAGGAACAAAGGTTGTGCAAAGGTTACACTACAAGTGCAAAATCAGCCTCAAAGGCACATTTCAGGTTCACAGAGAACTAATTCACACTGTAACAGGGCAAAGGAATTGGTAGAACCAAGAATCATGTAAAATAATGCTTATGTAAAAATTTACTCTTCCTTAAAAGTTAGACAGAAAAATGATCAAGATCCCTCTTGTGCTCCTAGCCAAGAATCATAGAATCATAGAATCATATAATGCTTAGGGTTGAAAGGGACCTCTAGAGATCATCTAGTCCAACCCCCCTGCACACGCAGGGTCACCTAGAGCACGTGGCACAGGGCTGCGTCCAAGCGGGTTTTGAAGATCTCCAGAGAAGGAGACTCCACAAC